AAAAGCCCGGCAGAGAGGCAAAGCACGTGGGAGCGGAGGGAGGGGAGCCAGCCTGGGGGAAAAGCCCGGCAGAGAGGCAAAGCACGTGGGAGCGGAGGGAGGGGAGCCAGCCTGGGGGAAAAGCCCGGCAGAGAGGCAAAGCACGTGGGAGCGGAGGGAGGGGAGCCAGCCTGGGGGAAAAGCCCGGCAGAGAGGCAAAGCACGTGGGAGCGGAGGGAGGGGAGCCAGCCTGGGGGAAAAGCCCGGCAGAGAGGCAAAGCACGTGGGAGCGGAGGGAGGGGAGCCAGCCTGGGGGAAAAGCCCGGCAGAGAGGCAAAGCACGTGGGAGCGGAGGGAGGGGAGCCAGCCTGGGGGAAAAGCCCGGCAGAGAGGCAAAGCACGTGGGAGCGGAGGGAGGGGAGCCAGCCTGGGGGAAAAGCCCGGCAGAGAGGCAAAGCACGTGGGAGCGGAGGGAGGGGAGCCAGCCTGGGGGAAAAGCCCGGCAGAGAGGCAAAGCACGTGGGAGCGGAGGGAGGGGAGCCAGCCTGGGGGAAAAGCCCGGCAGAGAGGCAAAGCACGTGGGAGCGAAGGGAGAGGAGCCCTCTGGGGAGGGCCTCTGCCCCATGCCGCCGCAGGAACAGGTGAGGGGGAGAGAGCAGACGGCAGGGGTGGGGTGTGGCTGTGCAGGGAGGGCCTGCCTGAGCACGGAGAAGCGGCGGCCAGAGCAGAGAGGCAAAGCTTGGCAGGGGTGTGTAACTCGAAATAAAGTTCGTAGGTTGAGGAAATATTTTCCTCTCAGAGTGGTTCGTAAGTCGAAAAGTACGCAACTCGGGCCGTTCGTAAGTAGAGACCCCACTGTACTTTTTAGTTTACAGGATTCCCTTATTGCTATTCCTCTTGAAATTACTTTTATCGTGTCCCACAACAGGCCTAATTTCGTACCTCCTGCTTCATTTATTGTCCATAATTCTAACCATTCTTTCTTTAACTTTTCTATTACCTGTGGGCACTGGAAAATGTTAATATCCAGTCTCCATCTTTTAGAGTCTTTATAATCTTTTTTAATCTCAGTCTCCATTGACATCAAAGCATGATGTTATTTTTATGGAATTGATCTCAGGATTAACTATTTTAGGAATTAATTATTGGGATGTGAATATAAAATCTATTCTGGAGTAACTATTATATACTGCTGAAAAATAAGTATATCTTCTTTCATCACCTTTCATTACCCTCCAAATATCCTTCAATCGGTTACAGTATTTTTACCTTCTTGCTCAATATTGTATTTCTTTGAAGAACATCATTTTGATCATAAAAAGTTTTATCCTTTATGTTATCCATAACCATATTAAAACCCTCTGCCATAATAACATAACCCTTCTTTCCCTTCTCCATTTCTTTAATAACCATGTCATAGAAATCTCCTTGTTTATTATTAGGTGTGTACACATTAACCAAAGTATATTCTTCAAACCCATTTTATCCTGTATTATTATAAATCTACCATTACAATTTTTACTACCTGTTTCACTATAAATTCACAATTTTTAAAAATTATGATTGCCATACTTCTAGATTTAGACGTTACAAAGTTTTTTTCATAAATGTCTATATTATTCATCTTAAGTTCGTTACTCCATCTTCTGACTGATGAGTCTCTTGCAAAAAGGCAATGTCAACCTTATTTTTCTTCAATAATGCTTCTATTCTTCTTCTTTTCACTATTGATCCCAGGTCTTTCATGTGCAACCCCTCCCCCCAACAAACTAACAAAAATACACTAAAAAATAAACTCAACATTACCCAAACATACAATACTTGGTAAAACCACTCCTTAAATATATTACTTTACCTTGAAAACTCTATTAGAGTCATTAAAAGTCTGTTCTGACTTGATAGCTCATAACAATAGATAGAACAGAATGCAGCGATAAATGTTCATCCTGAGGGACAGTAATTGGAGTTTGAGCATGCACATTGCCATCAGTATTACAACACTTACAGAAAGGTTACCTACCCATATACAGTGGGGTCTCGACTTACGAACGACCCTACTTGTGAACATTTCAACTTACAAACCCACCCTATAGGGGAAATAAGGACTCGACATGCGAACTTCCCTCGAGTTACGAACAGGAAAAAAGTGCCCCCTCCATCCCCTTAGAGGCTTCTGGAGGGGAAAAAAGGGTCAGAAACTTAAAAATAAATAAAAGAAAGTCACTTACCAGGCATTGGTAGCCCCCAAACAGCAGGAAAAAGAGCAGGAAACAGCTAAAAGCCCACACCAGAAGGGAGCCTGGCAGCCATTTTGTGCTCCCCCCCTCCTGCACCCTCCTCTCCCCGCCTATCAGCTGATCGGCTGGCTCTGAAGAGGCTTGGGGAGGCTTGCTCAGCACCTAAAAAGCCTGCCTGTGTGTCTTTGTGCTGAAAAAA